TGTTCTCATCATATGTATTTTTACTCTCTGTTTTACTATCCCTAAAAAATTTCATTCAGCAGCTTTCTATCTTGGGTGGCCCTTAGGCAATGTATTGGGTCTACCAACAATTAAAGAGTTACAAAACAGACCACAATGTTGGTAAAGCGTCACACAACAAACCTACTGACAATGGGCTTGTCAAGGGAAAGAAGATTGTAAATACAAAAGAATATTTAAAGAAAACAAAATAAATCAAGAAAGACATTACAAAATTGAAAAAAAAAACAAGAACAGACATAGACTTAAGCCCCCCGCTACAAAAAAAATAGTTGAATGTTTCTCGAAATTGGACTAACATAGTCAAGTAAAAACAAACTAAACAGCGCATAGTGACGCATATTCAAATTGTAAGACTGAGTCCCTGAGTGCTGTTTGGTTTATTGGTATTTTTTTCATATACATACATACATATATTTTATATATATATATATATATATATATATATATATATATATATATATATCGATAGATAGCGTGTATATATACGTCTCTGTACCTAGTAAGAAAGGAAGTATTTTCTACACATTTTAACTTTGATATTTCCTCTTTATTATTAGGTGACATCTCGATATTTTGCTGCATTTCCGGCTTGTCAATTCGTTTTTTTTTAATTTCTTTACGTGTCTCTTTTGGTTTCTCTTCCTTTTCTTTGTCTCAAAGCAACTTTTTCTCTTCTCTTGCCTCATTCTGACTGCTTCTTCTTTTCCTTGGTAAAATGTCCTCTTTTCATGCCGTTTCAACCTTACTTTCTTTTCTGTAAAGTCTTTACAATGACGTTATGATCTTCTTAGTCTGTCGTTATTCCTTATGAGTGCTGATAATTTTTGGCTGGCTGGCTGGCTGGGGATGGAAATGCGACAGTTATTTCGTTCTCGTTTTTATTCTGAAATTAGTCTCCATTTTTTTTTCTTGTCGTGTCTCTTCTCACTTTCGCTTCCTTTCTATTTAAGGTTTATTTTGTTTCTTTCTCCTCTCCCCGGCTCCTTCTTCTCAATGTGTCACGTACCTTCATGACGTCGGCGATCATGTATGTCCACAACATTTAATCCTTTCCGCACTTGGCTACATTTCTCCCTTTGGCAATAATCCCATCCCCACTTCCGCTATCCATTTACACGTGATCCTCAGGTAGGTAACCCTGTGCTTTTCTCTGTTATTTTGACTTCAGTATTTCCTGTGAGACTCAAATTCCTGGATTCTTATTATATACCCAAAAATCTCATCTTTTTTTTTTTTTATTTCTTTCCATTTTGTTTCCATTTTCCTTAAGACCTGTTCGTTACTTATTCACTCCGAATTCTCAGAATCTTTCAGTAGAAACACATTTCCGTTGTTGCCAGTATTCTCTTCATCTCTGTGTAGATTATCCCAGCATTCAATGCCATATAAAAGGAATGTTATGACATAATAGTTCAGAACTCTAATGCCTCCTTTGATATTCTAATACACGTTTAGAGTTTAGCATCGCATTTGGCATCGATTGGTAAAACACTTCGCGGATATTTAAACCCCTGTTCTTGTTTCATGTTGACATTCCCAAATCTTAGTTTGCATCTAGATTTTTTTTAAAACTTAGTTTTGGATCTAGTTTTTTTCTTACTTTGCATCTAGTTTTTTTTTTTTTCATTTAGTTTACATCAAGTTTTTCTTCTCTTAGTTTGAATCTAGTTTTTTTTTAATCTTAGTTTATATCTAGTTTTATTTCTCTTAGCTTGCATCTAGCTTTTTTCACTTAGTTTGGATCTAGTTTTTTTTTAATCATAGTTTACATATAGTTTTATTTGTATTAGTTTGCATCTAGTTTTTCTCTTAGTTTGCATCTAGTTTTTTCTCTTAGTTTGCATCTAGCTTTTTCCTCTTAGTTTACATCTAGTTTTTTTTCTCTCTTAGTTTGCATCTAGTTATTTCTCTTAGTTTGCATCTAGTTTTTTTCTCTTAGTTTACATCTAGTTTTTTCTTTCTCTTAGTTTGCATCTAGTTTTTTTTATCTTCGTTTGCATTTAGTTTTTTTTTTCTCTTAGTTTGCTTCTAGTTTTTTTCTCTCTTAGTTTGCATCTAGTTTTTTATCTTCGTTTGCATTTAGTTTTTTTCTCTTAGTTTTTAGTTTTTTTTCTCTTAGTTTGCATCTAGTTTTTTCTCTTAGTTTGCATCTAGTTTTTTTCTCTTAGTTTACATCTAGTTTTTTTTTCTCTTAGTTTTACATCTAGTTTTTTTTTTTCTTAGTTTCAGTTCTCTTAGTTTACATCTAGTTTTTTTTCTCTTAGTTTGCTTCTAGTTTTTCTTGTCTTGGTTTGCATCTAGTTTTTTTTCTCTTAGTTTGCATCTGGTTTTTTTTTTCTCTTAGTTTACCTCAAGTTTTTTCTCTTAGTTTACATTAAGTGTTTTTCTCTTAGTTTGGATCTAGTTTTTTTTTAAATCTAGTTTTTATATCTCGTTTCATTTCTCTTAGTTTTTGCATCTAGCTTTTTTCACTTAGTTTGGATCTAGTTTTTTTAATCATAGTTTACATATAGTTTTATTTGTATTAGTTTGCATCTAGTTTTTTTTTTTCTCTTAGTTTGCATCTTTTTTTTTCTCTTTTTTTTCTCTCTAGTTTTTTTCTCTTAGTTTGCATCTAGTTTTTCTCTTAGTTTTGCATCTAGTTTTTTCTCTTAGTTTGCATCTAGTTTTTTTCTTTCTCTTAGTTTATCTGATTTTTTTTTATTCTTTTTTTTGGTTTTTTTTCTTAGTTTGCATCTAGTTTAGTTTGTGCAGTTTCTAGTTTTTTCTCTTAGTTTGCATCTAGTTTTTTTTCTTAGTTTGCATTTACATCTAGTTTTTTTTCTTTCTCTTAGTTTTTGCATCTAGTTTTTTTTTTATCTTCGTTTTGCATTTAGTTTTTTTTCTCTTAGTTTGCTTCTAGTTTTTTTTTTTCTCTTAGTTTCTAGTTTTTTTTTTCTCTTAGTTTTGTTTTTAGTTTTTTTCTTAGTTTGCATCTAGTTTTTTTTTCTCTTAGTTTGCATCTAGTTTTTTCTTTGTTTTAGTTTGTTTTTTTTTTTCTCTAGTTACATCTAGTTTTTTGCATCTAGTTTTTTTTTCTCTTAGTTTGCATCTAGTTTTTTTTCTCTTAGTTTTTGCATCTAGTTTTTTTTAGTTTGCTCTTAGTTTGCATCTAGTTTTTTTTCTCTTAGTTTTCGTTTACATCTAGTTTTTTTTTCTCTTAGTTTGCATCTAGTTTTTTTTCTCTTAGTTTGCATCTAGTTTTTTTTTCTCTTAGTTTGCATCTAGTTTTTTTTTTTTTTCTCTTAGTTTTTTACATTTGCATCTAGTTTTTTTTTAGTTTTTTTTCTTTTCTTTTTCTTAGTTTTTACATCTAGTTTTTTTTCTCTTAGTTTGCATCTAGTTTTTTTTCTCTTAGTTTGCATCTAGTTTTTTCTCTTGGTTTTGCATCTAGTTTTTTTTTTAGTTTTTAGTTTTTTCTTTTTTTTTTTTTTTCTAGTTTTTAGTTTGCATCTAGTTTTTTTTCTTCGTTTTATAGTTTTTTTTTTTTGCATCTAGTTTTTTTTTCTCTTAGTTTTTCTAGTTTTTCTAGTTTTTAGTTTTTTTTTTTTTTTCTTGGTTTGCATCTAGTTTTTTTCTCTTAGTTTGCATCTAGTTTTTTTTTTTTCTCTTAGTTTTTTCTTAGTTTTTCTCTTAGTTTACATCTAGTTTTTTTTTCTCTTAGTTTGCATCTAGTTTTTTTTTTTCATCTAGTTTTTTTCTCTTGTTTAGTTTGCATCTAGTTTTTTTTTTTCTCTTAGTTTTGCATCTAGTTTTTTTTTCTTTGTTTGTTTTAGTTTTTTCTTTTTTTCTAGTTTTTTTTCTTAATTTGCATCTATCTTAGTTTACATCTAGTTTTTTTTTTTTTTTCTCTTAATTTACATCTAGTTTTTTTTCTCTTCGTTTTGCATCTAGTTTTTTTTTCATAGGTTTATTAGTTTGAATCTAGTTTTTTTTTTTTTTTAATCTTAGTTTTATATCTTCGTTTTTCAGTTTTTCTCTTAGTTTGCATCTAGTTTTTTTTCAATTAGTTTGGATCTTAGTTTTTTTTTTCATAGTTTACATCTAGTTTTAGTTTGCGTCTAGTTTTTTTCTCTTGTTTGCATCTAGTTTTTCTCTTGGTTTTGCATCTAGTTTTTCTCTTTAATTTACATCTAGTTTTTTTTTTCTCTTAGTTTGCATCTAGTTTTTTTTTCTCTTAGTTTGCATCTCTTAGTTTGCATCTAGTTTTTTCTCTTAGTTTGCATCTAGTTTTTTTTTCTCTTAATTTACATCTAGTTTTTTTCTCTTAGTTTGCATCTAGTTTTTTTTTCTCTTAGTTTACATCTAGTTTTTTTTCTCTTAGTTTGCATCTAGTATTTTTTCTCTTAGTTTGCATCTAGTTTTTTTTCTCTTAGTTTGAATCTAGTTTTTTTTTTTTTTCTTAGTTTGCTCTTAGTTTTTTTTTTTTCTTAATTTGCATCTAGTTTTTATCTAGATTTACCTTTTTTTTTTCTTAGTTTACATCATCTTTTTTTTTTCTCTTAGTTTGCATCTAGTTTTTTTTTTCTCTTAGTTTTATCATCTTAGTTTTTTCTCTTAGTTTTGGATAGTTTTTTTTTTAATTTTTACATCTTAGTTTGCAGTTTTTTTTTTCTCTTAATTTACATTTTCTTTAGTTTATCTTTTTTTTCTTAGTTTGCATCTAGTTTTTCTCTCTTAGTTTTTTTGCATTTACATCTTTTTTTCTCTTAGTTTTGCATCTTTTTTTTCTCTTAGTTTGCATCTGGTTTTTTTCAGTTTTCTAGTTTTTTTTTCTCTTAGTTTGCATCTAGTTTTAGTTTACATTTAGTTTTTTTCTCTTAGTTTGTAATCTGGTTTTTTTATCTTAGTTTGCATTTAGTTTTTTTTCTCTTAGTTTGCATCTAGTTTTTTTTTTTTCTCTTAGTTTGCATCTAGTTTTTTTTTTTTCTCTTAGTTTGCATCTAGTTTTTTTTCTCTTAGTTTGCATCTAGTTTTTTTTTCTTAGTTTCATCTGGTTTTTTTTTTTAATTTGCATGGTTTTCTTTTTTTTTCTCTTAGTTTGCATCTAGTTTTTTTCTCTTAGTTTGCATTAGTCTAGTTTTTTTTTTTGAATCTTAGTTTAGTTTTTTTTCTTAGTTTGCATCTGCTTTTTTTTTTTAGTTTTTTTTGCATCTAGTTTTTTTTTTCTTAGTTTGCATCTAGTTTTTTTTTAGTTTCTTAGTTTTTTTTTGGTTTTTTTTTCTTTAGTTTGGATCTAGTTTTTTTTTTTTCTCTTAGTTTGCATCTAGTTTTTTTTCTTAGTTTGCATCTAGTTTTTTTTCTCTTAGTTTACATCTAGTTTTTTTTTTTCTCTTAGTTTACATCTAGTTTTTTTTTTTTCTTTTGTCTAGTTTTTTTTTTCTCTTAGTTTGCATCTAGTTTTTTTCTCTTAGTTTGCATCTAGTTTTTTTTCTTTAGTTTGCATCTAGTTTTTTTCTCTTAGTTTGCATCTAGTTTTTTTTCTTATTTTAGTTTTTTTTCTTGGTTTAGTTTTTTTCTCTTAGTTTGCATCTAGTTTTTTCTCTTTTTTTTTTTTAGTTTGCATCTAGTTTTTTTTTCTCTTTTGTTTGCATCTAGTTTTTTTCTCTTTTTCTCTTAGTTTTTTTGCATCTTAGCATCTTTTTTTTCTCTTAGTTTACATCTTTTTTTTTTTTCTTAGTTTTACGTCTTAGTTTTTTTTCTCTTAGTTTGCATCTAGTTTTTTTTCTCTTAGTTTGCTTCTAGTTTTTTTTCTCTTTTTACATCTAGTTTTTTTTCTCTTAGTTTGCATCTAGTTTTTTCTCTTAGTTTACATCTAGTTTTTTTTTCTCTTCGTTTGCATCTAGTTTTTTTCTCTTAGTTTGCTTTTGTTTGCATCTTTTTTTTCTCTTAGTTTGCATCAGTTTTTCTCTTTGTTTACATCTAGTTTTTTCTCTAGTTTTTTTTTCTCTTTGTTTACATCTAGTTTTTTTTTTCTCTTAGTTTACATCTAGTTTTTTTCTCTTAGTTTGCATCTAGTTTTTTTCTCTTAGTTTTTACATCTAGTTTTTTTTCTCTTAGTTTGCATCTAATCTCGTTTTTTCTCTTAGTTTGCATCTAGTTTTTTTTTTCTCATAATTTGCATCAATTTTTTCTCTTAGTTTTTTTTTCTTTTTTTTCTAGTTTTTTTTCTTCGTTTGCATCTAGTTTTTTTTTTTCTCTTAGTTTGCATCTAGTTTTTTTCTCTTAGTTTGCATCTAGTTTTTTTTTTTAGTTTCTTAGTTTTAGTTTGCATTTTTTTTTCTTAGTTTGCATCTAGTTTTTTTTCTCTTAGTTTGCATCTAGTTTTTTTTTCTCTTAGTTTGCATCTAGTTTTTTTTCTCTTAGTTTGCATCTAGTTTTTTTTCATTTTCTTTTCTTAGTTTTTTTTCTCTTGCATTTTTTTTTTTCTCTTAGTTTGCATCTAGTTTTTTTTTTTCTCTTAGTTTTGCATCTTTTTTTTCTCTTAGTTTACATCTAGTTTTTTTTTCTTTTTTGCATCTTTAGTTTGCATTTAGTTTTTTTTCTTTAGTTTATTCAGTTTTTTTTTTTTGCATCTAGTTGCATCTAGTTTTCTTTTTTTTTTTTCTCTTAGTTTACATCTTAGTTTTTTTTTCTTAGTTTGCATCTAGTATTTTTTCTCTTAGTTTGCATCTAGTTTTTTTTCCATGGTTTACATCTAGTTTTTTTCTCTTAGTTTGCATCTAGTTTTTTTTTCTCTTAGTTTGCATCTAGTTTTTTTTCTCTTAGTTTTACATCTAGTTTTTTTTTTAGTTTTTTTCATCTAGTTTTGCATCTAGTAGTTTTGGATCTAGTTTTTTTCTCTTAGTTTGCATCTAGTTTTTTTTTCTCTTGGTTTGCATCTAGTTTTTTTCTCTCTTAATTTACATCTAGTTTTTTTCTCTTAGTTTGCATCTGAATCTAGTTTCATTTCTCTTTTTTTTTTCTCTTAGTTTGCATCTAGTTTTTTTTTTCTCTTAGTTTGCATCTTTTTTTTCTTAGTTTTTCTTTTTTTCTAGTTTTTTTCTTAATTTGCATCTAGTTTTTCTCTTGGTTTTTTTTCTCTTAGCTTTTTACATCTAGGTTTTTTTTTTTTTAGTTTTATTAGTTTGTTTACATCTAGTTTTTTTTTTTAAAGTTTTTGCATCTAGTTTTTTATCTTAGTTTCATCTATTTCTCTTAGTCTTAGTTTGCATCTAGTTTTTTTTGTTTCTTAGTTTATACTAGTTTTTTTTTTAATCAGTTTTTTTATCTTAGTTTTTTTTTTTTATTTACATCTAGTTTTTTTTAGTAGTTTGCATCTAGTTTTTTAGTTTTCTTAGTTTGCATCTAGTTTTTTTTTCTCTTTAGTTTACATCTAGTTTGCATCTAGTTTTTTTTTTTTTTTTTGTCTTAGTTTGCATCTAGATTTTTTTCTCTTAGTTTGCATCTAGTTTTTTTCTCTTTGTTTGCATCTAGTTTTTTTCTCTTAGTTTGCATCTAGTTTTTTTTCTCTTAATTTACATCTAGTTTTTTTTCTCTTAGTTTGCATCTAGTTTTTTTCTCTTAGTTTACATCTAGTTTTTTTTCTCTTAGTTTGCATCTAGTTTTTTTTTTCTCTTAGTTTGCATCTAGTTTTTTTCTCTTAGTTTTGCATCTAGTTTTTTTCTCTTAGTTTATCTAGTTTTTTTTTTTTTTTTAGTTTACATCTAGTTTTTTTTGTTTAGTTTGCATCTAGTTTTTTTTTGTTTTTTTTTCTCTTAGTTTACGTCTAGTTTTTTTTGTCTTAGTTTGCAACTAGATTTTTTTCTCTTAGTTTGCAGCTAGTATTTTTTTCTCTTTGTTTGCATCTAGTTTTTTTTTCTCTTAATTTACATCTAGTTTTTTTTTTCTCTTAGTTTGCATCTAGTTTTTTCTCTCTTAATTTACATCTAGTTTTTTTCTCTTAGTTTGCATCTAGTTTTTTCCCTTAGTTTGCATCTAGTTTTTTTTCTCATAATTTACATCTAGTTTTTTTTTTTTCTCTTCGTTTGCATCTAGTTTTTTTAACTTAATTTGCATCTAGTTTTTTTCTCTTAGATTGCATCTAGTTTTTTTTTTCTCTTAGTTTACATCTAGTTTTTTTTTCTCTTAGTTTGCATCTAGTTTTTTTTTCTCTTAGTTTACATCTAGTTTTTTTTTCTATTAGTTTGGATCTAGTTTTTTTTTATCCTAGTTTATATCTCGTTTCATTTCTCTTAGCTTGCATCTAGCTTTTTTCACTTAGTTTGGATCTAGTTTTTTTTTTTTAATCATAGTTTACATAGAGTTTTATTTGTATTAGTTTGCATCTCGTTTTTTCTCTTAGTTTGCATCTAGTTTTTTTCTTTCTTTATTTACATCTAGTTTTTTTGTCTTAGTTTGCATCTAGTTTTTTCTCTTAGTTTGCGTTTAGTTTTTTTTTCTCTTAGTTTACATCTATTTTTTTTTCTATTAGTTTGCAACTAGTATTTTTTTGTCTTAGTTTGCATCTAGTTTTTTTTTTCACTTAGTTTACATCTAGTTTTTTCTCTTAGTTTGCATCTAGTTTTCTTTTTCATAATTTTTATTATAGTTCTCTTCTATGTCTATTCAATAATTTTCACAAATTTTGTATCTATTTTTACATCCTGGTTTTAATCCTATCTCAATATTGCTAATTCTCATTAATTTCTCCACTTTCATTTCGTTTCGAACAGCTACCGCTTTGTCATTCTCGTCACAACTACAATGCATCGATCAATTTCTCTTCCATATACAACGGTCTATTCTTTTCTTGCTCATTTCGCTCTCAGTCTCTTTTTCATTCGACATCATTTTAAGCTTTTCTTTCGTCCTCGCCTTCTCTATTTCTTTCCATTCTTTAGCATTTTAACTGTTTCTCTCCAAACCGACACAACTCTTAATTTTCGCATCTACCTCCACCTACGGCCCAGATCTCATCCTATAATAAACAATGAACCAGAACCAACAGTCTATAATTAAAAGGGAAACGAGGGAAAAAATGGAAGGGAATTAGGCTGAAATGAAACGACAAACGAAACCGCTGAAGCGTGCAAGAACGCGCGGCGCTTTCATCTACTGCCCGCGAATTACGTATGCGGTAGACAATAAAATAGATGTTGTCACTTCTTTTTTTGTGTTTTCAAGGAAGCCCACCTCCATCTAATTTTACAACCACATCATCATACGCGAAGACATGGGTTCAGCCTTCTCATCTAAATGTCTTTCTAATTCATTGAAAATGAAATACACAAACGCACCTTTAATTATTTACTCAATATAAAGATATAAACAGGTACTTTATATATATATATATATATATATATATATATATATATATATATATATATATATATATATATATATATATGTCTTGTATGTGAGCCTGTTATTGTGTGTGTGTCTATAAAGAAGAACATATATACCGGTATAAAACAAAAGCACACATCTTATTACTCGAGATATATGTGAATATAACAAAATATCTTTGCAAGTATTGAAACAGATGAACTCATGCAATCATTCTCATACTCATATATATATATATATATATATATATATATATATATATATATATATATATATATATATATATATATATATATATATAAAACATCAATCTACATAAGCATGAGCATCTATATGTGTCTGTATTCTATGTATTTCGGCAGCAAATGTTCTTTAAGGCAAATGTTATTAAAGACAACATACATTTTGCGACTATTAATTTTATTGATCGATTTTTCCAAATTACGAAGAATCCTCTCAGTTGGCGTGGAAATTCTGTCAAACTGTGTACAAAGTTCATTTCGGAAGAAATACGGTCCAGGCTTTCGATTTTTCTTAACTTCCCATCGAGGTAGTTAGAGACAAATGTTGAGTGTTTTGACGTAGACAAGTA